TTGGCTATTGTAAATAATGCTGCAAAAAACATGGACGTGTAGATATCTCTTCAATATACTGTTTCCCTTCCTTTTTTTTTTTTTTTTGAGTTGGAGTCTCACTCTGTCGCCTGGGCTGGAGTGCAGTGGCACGCTCACGGCCACCCCAGCTTCGACCTGCTGGGCTGTGGCATTTCTTCCACCTCAGCCTTCCAAGTAGCTGGAACTACAAGCGCACACTACCAGGTCCAGCTAATTTTTTATTTATTTATTGTCGAGACAAGTTCTCGCCAAGTTGCCCGGCCTGGTCTCGAACCCGTGGGCTCAGGCAATCCACTCGCCTCAGTCACCCAAAGTGCTGGGATTACAGGCTGATGTTTCCCTCCCTTTAAATAAATGCCCAGGTGAGACTCCGACTCAAAAATAAAAATAAATAAATAAATGCCCAGCCGTGGGACTGCTGGATCATATGGTAGTTCTACCTGTAGTTTAAAATTCTGACTCTTTCATTTGAATTATGATACTCTGAGGTAGAATGCTATTAGTGCCATGGAGTGGTATAAACCCCTCATCTAATGTTGACACACAGAGTAAGAAACTAGCTTTGTCAAAGAGTTTCTGTAGAGGAGAAATTTAGTGAAGGACAGGAAGGCGGCAGGGAGTTCCAGAAAGAGAAACTACAGAGAGGCATCCTGGCTCAGTGCAAAGGCTGTGAGATTTGGACTCAGGTGGACATGCATTTGCAACCTAGCTCAACCACTGAGCTTGTGTCTGCAGGAGCTTGTATACGTCCTCTTTCCTCTTAAAGCCTCAGTCATCTCATCTACGAAATGGGGGTCATAATCCCTGTCTTACATTGTTGTTATTAAGTGAATACACCTTTGTGTATGTGTCAGATAGGGTCTCTCTCACTCTGTCACTTAGGCTGCAGTGCACTGACATGATACTGGCTCACTGCAGCCTCGACATCCTGTCCTCAAGTGATCCTTCTGCCTCAGCCTCCCAAGTAGCTGGGATTACAGGTGTGTACCTCTATGCCTGGCAATTTTTTAAATCTTTTGTAGAAACAATGTCTCGCTATGTTGCCCAGGCTGATCTTGAACTCCCAGCCTCAAGCAATCCTCCTGCTTTAGCTCCCAAAGTGCTAGGGTCACAGGTATGTGCTGCCTCATTCTATCTGATATATTGTTGATGTAAAGTGCCCGTTACAGTATTTGACACATGCTAGGATTTTATTAACTATTACGGAATGTGAAGAAGCATGACCTTAGCAAATAGCAGTAAAAGATGGCTTTCGAGGAGGATGAGCATCAAACCCCAAATAGCTACAGTTAAGATGTATGTGGATCAGGGTAGTCATGGATAAGGTTAAGTACAGATTTGTGAAAAGATTCAGGAAATGTTTTAACGTGAAGGTGAGGTCAAGACACAGAATAAGAAAGTATTTTTGACCTGGAGGTTCCATAAAGGGAAAACATTTGAACTTTGTTCAGTAGACAACAGTAGATAACTCAAGGCTATTATGTAGATACCAGATTTTTCAAGAATCACTACCCAACTCAGCTATGTTTTCTGGGAGCTCTTATTATTCTCTGAGTGATTCTTTTTTTTTTTTTTTTTTTTTTT